AATAAACTTATGTCCTGCTGAAAGCAGCGAAGCCCACAACCACAATGAGCGACTCCCATCCACGGACACAGTGGATGTCTATCCTCCTGAGCGCCACTATACGTCACATCAACAATCATTCCTCAACGGTGGTATCGTTGTATTCCAAGAGGTCACCGTTCAAGTCGAACAGAAGAAGTCTGAGTCCAGAAGTGACTTGGAACTATCGTGGAGTCACGACACGGTAACTGAGCCGCCGAAAGCACATCAGCGACATAACAAGAAGAATGAAATGCCAGTTATACAGAGCATCGAACTACAGCCATCGGGGAGGGGAACCACAGAGGTTTCAGTTGAGTCTCGCTGGCTGCATAGTTTCGGCCACGCCGATACCAACATCACAACGATGGCCGCTTTTATAGATACTTTAATTCAAGAGTCTAGTCACTCTGTTACATAGTAGAGCTTGGACTCTCAAACCTAATGTACAAAGTTATTTGCAACCTTTCACTACATGCGTGCCTATTTCTGGGCTGTTGCCCATAACAGTCAATGCTATCGCCGTGCGATCGGCCTGGTATGGCAATTGTGGTTTGCTTTTGCCATGGTACTTGAATAACGTGCCCACTTGTATTTAAATGCTGACCACTAACGAAGGATGCCGCTTTTCCCGGGGTATTGAATGGGGTTGACGTTGGCCAAGTCAAGTTCCCCCGCACGTTCAGGTCGTAGATGCACTTATATCGGCAGTTGGGTCGGTTAATAAGTCATAAGAGGGGTTTTTCTCATCGGCTTCCTGATTACTTTTAAGTGACTTGTACTCTGTAGTTACTTATAATATCTGCTTGTCTATTGTCTGGACGTCTTGAGCCTCTGCTGACGACATCGACTGATCCTTGCCATCTGTCATTATTCGCCCGACAGCATTTCTCGATACGATAGAAGAAGAGTGACAATGCTTCTTGTATGGATAGCAGCCATTATAGACATTGCTTGGCTGGTATTCGGTTCATCGTCCAACACCAAAGGCAGCGGGAAGCCTTTGCCTGGCCCACCAGGTATGCCAAGTGCACAACTATATCTCCCAACACTCTCCCTTGCACTGCACTCAGCCCTGTATTTCCACTAGCAACGTTTGACTAACCATGATGCGCAAGGTAAACCGTTGTTCGGAAACCTCTTTGAGATCCCCCAATATCACTCTTGGCTCAAGTTCAAAGAATGGGCTGACACGTACGGCCCCATCTTTCGTCTCAATCTCGCTGGGCGGCAGCATGTCGTCTTGTCAACCGAGAAGATTGCCAATGATCTCCTGCGCGAGCGAGGCAGTTATTATTCCTCACGCGAGTTTCTCCCCATGTCATCTGGAATTGTCTCGCGCGAGATGAGGCCATTGCTTCTCCCATATAATGGTGAGGTTCAACAGTTTAGAAGAAGAAAAGTCTGTGGCTAACATCGACCTTGACCTGCAGATCTATGGCGTCGAGGCCGCAAGCTGATGCATCAGTTGACCATGCCAGCCGCAGCTGACTCTTACCAACCCGTCCAGGACTATGAGTCCAAGAAGCTGCTCGTATCGCTGCTCGAGACACCTGCCAGCTACGACAAGTGGTTCGAGCTGTACGCCTCGGGGGTTGTTTTCAGAATTGGATTCGGCAAGTGGATAGAAACGGGCGACGAGCCCGCTGTCAAGCGAATTATCCAAGTTGTCCATAATGTGGAGCGAGTCGCATCACCTGGAGCCTACTTGGTTGACTCGATGCCATTCCTCAACAGCTTGCCAGAAGCGGTAGCCCCCTTCAAGAGGGAAGGGAGAAGACTACACGAGGAGGAACTGGGCCTCTTTAGAGAGCTTCAGTTTGATGTGGGCCGCGCGTTGAAGAAGGGCTCTGACACCCAGTGTTTCACACGTACGTTCCTCGAGAACAAGGTCGGCTATCAGCTTTCGGATGACGAGGGGGCCTACGTGATCGGCACCTTGTTCGAGGCTGGGAGCGGCACCACGGCTGCGGCTATGATGTCGTACTGTCTCGCCATGTGCCACTTCCCAGAGTGGCAGAGAAAGATGCAAGATGAGCTTGATGAGCAGGTGGGTGACCGCATGCCCGAGTTTGAGGATATACCGAAGCTCCCGACAGTGCGTACCGTTATCAAGGAGGTGCTGCGGTGGCGCCCTGTCACAGCAGGTGGGTTTCCTCACCAGCTGACCAAGGACGACGAGTACGAGGGGTTTTCCTTCAAAAAGGGGACGATATTCCATCTCAACCAATGGTAAGTCTATTCTTCGACACAGCTCTTCTACTTGAGCCAAGCAAAAGTGCTAATTTCGTCGTGTTCCAGGGCTATCCACCGAGACCCGGCACTGTACCCTGACCCAGACAACTTCAGACCGGACAGATGGCTGGACCCAAAGTTCCCAACCACTTACAAAGAACCGCTGTCCAAGTTCCCCAACCTGCAGAACTATAGCTGTTTTGGATTCGGGCGGCGGATCTGTCCAGGACAGAACATCGCCGAGCGGTCTCTTCACATCTTGACGGCTCGGATCGCCTGGGCTGGCAGCGTTGTGAAGAAGAGGGACGCGAGCGGAGCGGAGCTGCCGGTGCCGCTTTATGACTACACCATAGGGTTCAACACCCAACCGGAACACTTTGACTTTGACGTGGTTCAACGTTCACAGGCGAGACATACAGTCATTAAAGAATATCTGAAGGAAGCAAGGTCTAAACGGCCAGCGTAAAGGCAGTCAAGTATATTGGGGTATGTCAAAGCAACGAGGTATGCAAGCGTTTGGGACATTGATCGAGACCACTTGTGTAGATCTGCAACTCTCCATCGTCTACAGTGAAGGATGGGTCAATGCGAGCACGGTGAATATGGGCCAATAGCCTGTTGATGACATGTCCTGCTCTTATAGCCATTCGTCCTAATCGGACCCAAGAAACGAAGAGATGAGCATTAACAAATACGGTCCTACATCCTTCACCTGCCATAGTGACTCCCCAGCGTGAAGTAGAATAGAATAGCGGCCCATGATTGAAATAGTTTCCGGAATACCCCTTTCCAGCAAGACGATAAAGCGTTCTGGTAAAGAATCGGCCAAATGAATATCATGCGCAAGGCAAATGAGCTCCTTTCGGGATACTGTAGATCAATCCAGAGCCCCGTCTATCATGCAAAGAGCCTTAATGCATGCCTACTTATCATGATCGTCTAACCGTACCGTCCGCGAAAGCAGTGACATAAAATACAGGCGAAGTGGAGGTGTGTCATGATACCCCAGAGGATCAAGGCCTTTCGTGATAAGAGGTCCGACCTTTGACGTCAGTAGTATCTTCCATTCTTGTGCTGTCATGACAGCTCTGATGCCCCGGTGAACTCGTGCACCTTGGGTAAATCGGTCGATAAATGACTCGAGATCAGCATCTCGCCTAGCAAGGACGTCGACCAACATATGGAGGAAAAGAGTAGCCTGGTAATGGAACTCTCATCGGCAGTAATTGTATCCGCGTTGTCGAATAGTTCGATAGCCTTGGTTTGCAATTCTACTACCTGGCGTGAATAGCAATCTGCCTCGTCGGTATGGGCGGTTGACAGACTAAGTGTCGAGCCGAGATTGCCAGGACCTTGGGCATTCAATACTCCTCTGGTTTACTGAATCTTGCATCAAGGTCACGTTCAGCTCTGAGGATGACAAGGTGGCATCATTCGGACCCTGTGAATAAACTGTGAGAAAGCAACTAAGAGAATTATAAATGAACAAAATCTCGTGGGATATGGTTCGTACCGGAGGCTTGCGCTCGCGATACACAATTTCGCTTTGCAGTAATGCATTTTATAGGAACATGCTTGCCTTCATCGCGCTGCCAAAACTTATTGATAATACCTGCGCATGTATGTAGTACATAAAGAGTACTTATCCGGATATGCCGGCGCTTGCACTCGAGACAGCCTTTGTGTTATTCGCAGCTGAGACTTATGGCTAAGAGCTTAAATCAGCCGAGAGAACTTAGAGGCAGCCTTTCCTTGATTCCTTATGCCTAAAGCGTTGCGTTCCTGGACCAAACTGCAGAGCACTAAAGAAGGGCCAAGGGGCCCTTGTCAGTGCCTGGATTGGCTGATATTGCCAATATGCTTTTTGCGGCAGCGGTTTGGAGGAATAGAGAGACAAAGAAACAGAAGGTAAGTAGCGGGTTCTTAATTACGCGTATTTTAGCTACATTGGAGGATGCGGATAAGAGCTTGAGGTGGTGAGAGAAAAGGAGTTAGAACTGGGAAAAACAAAAACCTCAATAGTGTGATAATAGCCACGAAGTTGACTGCCGCCTATAAGGTTAAGCTTTAGGCTACGGTAAATATACCAACATGACTAGATAATAACAGGTCACCAATTGTGACTTATCTCTGGAACTGAAAATAAAAACGTCCTCAATTGAAATACCAGTAGATAGGGAGAAATACGCGTAAATTTTAGTAGCCCGCTTTTATTACACGGAAAGCAGCAAGCACAAATCAACAGTCTAGCTTCAACAATTAATTATAGAGTGCCCTGATTTTGTAAAATCCATATAAAGCGAGAAATACATATTGGTTGTGAAGAGTCGTAAATAGGTGATAAGTAGCCTTTATCTATACAGTTAGGTATATATATATACTGCCTCTTCGCCCTTATGAGGTTCTTAGTAAATATGGACTAGAGATCCTATTTTTAACCCAGTCCTACTCCGTACATACCGCACTAACGCATGCCCCGCTCGTAAATAATACGGGTGGGTCATTCAGCAAGCCCAACATTAGCGAATAGGCCGGTCATTATTGTCTTGATGAGTTAAGTACAGTTGTTGCGCCTATATAAATACTTCTGGTACCTCTGGAGAACTCTTTGGCACAGTAACTTTGAGATCCATGTTCCAGAAGCTCGTTTGTATTATTGTCTAAGCAAGAAAAAAGTTTTCCCCTCGCTTTGGGTATCTCTTTTCCTTGCACCAAAGCTCAGTCGTTTCGTAGCCAACGCCCCTACCATGTGGGAATTCAAGCTCTATCACTACGACCCATCTTTTATCGCCGCAATTATCTTTCTGGCTCTCTTTAGTGCTTTAACACTCTGCCACCTCTTTCAACTCATTTGGCACAAAACTTTCTATCTTGTTCCATTCCTTATTGGATGTATTTGTAAGTGAGCTGGCACTGCTTGCCCCCGAGTATGCACTCATCAATCCGTAACAGTTGAGGCAATTGGTTATGCCGGGCGTGCAATATCTGCAAAGCAGACTCCTGATTGGGCTATCATGCCTTATGTCCTCCAAAGTCTCCTTCTACTCCTCGGTCCGACCATGTTGGCAGCTTCTATCTATATGTCACTTGGAAGACTCATCAAATCCCTCGAGGCCGACTCTTACTCACTGGTCCCGATTGAATTTTTGACAAAGACCTTTGTTATTGGTGATGTTATTTCCTTTCTGGTACAGTCTACGGGTAAGTTTGAACTGTATTCTTTGGCGTTAGCCGCGATACTAACCTCTGATAACTACAGGAGGAGGTATGCTGGCCAAGGCCAAGTCCAAGGGTGACCAGAAGATGGGACAGAACATCATCATCGTTGGCCTTGCTGTCCAAATCTACTTCTTCGCATTCTTCATCACCATTCTTCATATCTTCCATCGCCGAATTACGGCCAACCCGACCAGCAAAAGTCTTTCTTCAGTCTCCCCCTGGAAACAATTTGTCCTCGTTCTCTACGTTGATAGTGGTCTGATCATGATCCGATCTCTTTTCCGTTTGGTTGAGTACATCACCGGATCGAACGGCGCATTGCAGTCAACTGAAACATATATTTATGTGTTTGACGCTTCGATGATCTTCGTCACCGTTGCTCTTTTCAGTCTTGTTCACTCGGGACGAGCGATAAGAACTCCTAGAGAACCGATACAGACGTTTCATATATGCAATGACTTAGCAAGCATTCCTTTACAAAACAAGAGCCACTTTTCGCCTTCCATTGTCCAGCAACCTTTCACCATGTCCGACCGTCATCACTATCGCTATCTACAAGAACATCCAATGGCTCAGCATCCCCCTCAGAATCATACAGACTCCCTTGACCAGTACAACTACCCCTCCTACTCAATTTCGCCTGGTCGATTTCACGGTCAGGCTTGAAAAACTCTTGGAACTATGGTGCGCTCCTCTTTAGTATTATTTGAAGACGTCGTGCCTATTAGATTGCATATAGATTTATTTATAGACATTGAGATTATTGCCTTTATATATTATAGATATTTAACTGCGCCAAGGTATAGATAATTAGTTATATTTATTACGGCATGGTATTTACTTATTAAATATACTATATTAAAAAGTCAAAATATCCCTATAGCAATATATAAGGTATAGCCAATTAGGGTCTTAGATAAGAAGATAATATAATAAGATACTTATTTTTTAGTATAATATAATATAAGGCATTATATATTATGCCAAAAAATATAATAACCTTAATAATAAGCCTTAAGGTTATATAGCTGCTGCTATAAACCTTATAATCTAATTAAATAAGTGGCCTTAATCTATAAATATAAAAAAGATAATTCTTCTAGACTTAACAGGCTAAATGCCCTCTTTATTATTATTTTATTAAGGTAATTACTATTAAGGCTCTAACCTTAAAAGATTAAATTATAATAATTAAAAAACTAAAAATCTAATTATAAGATATATTACTATATAATTAATATTAGCTATAGCTATTCTATTATAGCAGTTAATAACTATATAATCGGTCTTTTAATAGAGGTCTATAAGCTTAACTTTAGATATATTTTAATACTGCAATCCTTTTTAAGGCATTATAAAATAATAAGAAATTACTTATTATATATTAATAAGCTATTAATAATACAGTAAGTTAATTTAGTAATTTTTAGCTATTAAGTATAGCTACTAGATATTAATATAGATAAAGTCCTAATTAATTATATTATAGATTAAATAGAGGCATTATATAACAGTTATAGGTTTCAAACAGGGAAACTAATCTATACTAGGTTTATATTTACAGAAATATAAGGCATATATACTAAACTTAACTTTAGATATTATATCTCTTAATAATTAAGTAATATAAATTAGGCTTATTAATATAAAAAAGTCTTATTAATAGCTAATAAGCTAAGTTTTATTTAAGTACTAATAAATATAGTCTATATATTACAACCTAACACAATCTGACATACATATAAACATACCCTACCTTTTTCTTCTAATTAAAAACCACCTACCTTATATAAGTTAAATGCATGCCATTTAACATATAGAACTAACTATTATAAATAAGATCAAACTGACCCTATTTAACTTATATAATAAAACAAACTAAGTCAAACCGACCTTATTTAACTTATATATTACTTAAATATATATATATATTTATTTAACAGTAAATAGAACTTAACTTACTAGCTATTAATATATTTATTTAAATAACATTTCTTTACCTTAATAAGCCTTACTTATACTATTAACTATTAAGAGATATAATTAAAACTAATATATTTAGTATA